TTTCCTTGAACTCAACCAGTAATAAAGATACAGAAACATTACATACCCTTTCCTCGAACTCAACCAGTAATAAAGATATAGAAACTATATAAATGATTTGTAGAGCTTTGGTTTATACGGATTATTCCCACCATTTATGTGAATATTTCTATATATTTGTTACCATAGTTTTTGATAAACATATAACAAAATTACTTTAATTATTTTATTAGAAGTGAGGATGAGCACCAACTGATAGCTCAGTATTGTCAAACACTCTCTGGAGAAAGTGTCCTGTCTGTTGTAAGTTTATATGTTTCATATTTATATTTGGTTAAGTGTCCTGTCTGTCATCAGCTCATTTTTATCATATTTTTCTACAATCATCTATACTGTCCATTGTAATCTTATTTATTTCATATTTTTATATGATAATGTCCTGCTGGTTGTAAACTTATTTGTTTCATATTTTTACATGATTTAATTGCCTGTCTGTTCAACCTAACTTTTTTTTATAATTTATGTAATTATAGTGGATGTTACCCTTATATTTATACAATTAAGTTGTGTATTCTGTAAACTGATGTTTCTTGTATATAAGTAAGTGTCATGTATGTTATAAACTGATGTTTCCCAGATAATTAGGTTGTTAAGTAATTATTTACATTTAGTACTCGTTTGTTCATACATATATATCTACTGATTATTAAATCTTGTTATTGTATTTTAAATCCTCTTTAATTTATCTTCCTTTTGTCTTGCTTATGATGACACCTTTTATTTATTATTTGGTAATACCTTCATCTATTGAGAATAAGGTTTGAAACTTACTTAATAAAAATCATCATTTTTCAAGTACAGAAACCATTCTGTTTGGTTAAAGTATGTTTAGTTGTTTTAGAAATGTCAGCAGTGGATATAATATTACACACTCTTCTTCCTTGTGAAAAAACCCTAATGGGCTGAATAAAGATTGTTGTGTAGAAAAGTGTAATAGGCCTAATAATAATGTCTTATGACAAGTATAATTGTTTGTAATCTCACTTGTTTAGTGTAAGGTAGAATTATTCGTGTAGCTGTTACATGTTTTGCTGTGTATGTTACAGCCTCGCAGCCCAGCCCAAATTATGGCAGCCATAGATGCTGACCATCAAGAGGAGTTGAAGACAATGATTCATGAACTAGAAAAAGAGAACAGGTGATCTTGGCTAGATAAAAATAATTTCATATATTTATCTACACACACACACACAGAGTTTGGAAGGAACATCTGACACTAGGTGCAACTCAACATGGAGCAGCATTGATCCAGAGGATCGAAGTAAAATGAGAAAGAAGAAACCAACATGTTGTAAACTTGAATTACAACACATGGATATGTGAAAATTTTTAACAAGCTGTGCTGCTATCAAACTGGACTTGACAACCAAAAACAGACTCATTACGTACCTGACTAGACCTCTTATCTGTACACCATGATCCCAAGGATCAACACTTACCAAAGGATTACATTTAACTACATTGTGAAATATTACCCAGCAACAAGACCCAAGACAGGTCATTATATTACATTAAAACAAATAATAAGGGCATCTCAATAGGGTATATTTACTTTTTTCCTTCTTTTAAGGAAGGGAACATGTGCCTTTTATAGGAAGTTGTATGTTTCTTCAGAAGAAAAAAAACACTGTCTTTCTTCTACTGTTAGATAATTTCTCCCTTTTATGGTACAGATAGTTGAGAGATTTTTTTCTTTCTAAATAATGAAAAAATAATTTGTTTTTCTTCTTCATAAGCACCTTCAGTCCTCTGCAGTACATAGCCCTATTCATATAATATCCATCTTCCCTTATTTCTTGCAGTGTCTCCTCAGGCCTCTCCATTTTTTCCCATTGTCGTCCTCCTCTTCTTTTCCGGTGCTTGGTTGCCATCCTCTTTGTCTACCTGTTGTCATTTCTTCTAGTCATATATTCAACCCATCTCTGGTTTAGTTTTTAATATGTCTAATACTTTTCTCCTTTTCTTATAGTTATATGTTGGATCTTATCTTTTAGTGAGAAGCCTAGTGTTGATCTTATTGTTGTTTCCACCAGTAGCTTGGGGTAGGCTCCCTTGATGCCTGGTGGAAATTCTTTGGGTGGGCACCATCTCATCTTTTCATGTGCGTTTTTTTCAATATATGCCTTACACTGATACACTGGTGAGGTACGTTGTTGTAAGCTTCTGTAATTTGCTCTTACCGTATTAAAAAAACAACAACTGCTCTTTTCTAAGGCATATGAAATTGTTTCATAAGTTAGGATATAAACACTGTACTTTTTGTAAATAAAGAAACTGTTGTATCTTTCTAAGAAAAAAACCACTTGGTATCTAAAGAAAGTTGTAGATATATATTGGAGTAGTTTAGATTATATTTCCCCTGCTTGAAAACTTTAAGATTAAAAGTATTTTTTGATTTTAATGTATTCAGTCTCTATAACACATTTTATGAAAACCTCCTCTATAGAAATCTCCATGCCGAGTATGAGATTCTCCAAGTTAAACAGGCTGCACAAGAACTGTCACCGTCAGTCACAGAAGATGACTATGTGGAGATCCCACCCACTTCTAGTAGTAATGAAGAAATGGTGGCTGAAGCTAAGCTCTTGAGGCAGCATAAGGGCCGACTTGAAGCCAGGATGCAGATACTGGAAGATCACAACCGCCAGTTGGAAGCTCAATTACAACGGCTCCGACAACTTCTGAATGAAGTGAGTAACAAGGCGTCGTTTTCTCAGGGTTTTTTCAGCTTGTCTTCTATAGATTGATATTGATGTATAAAATTATGTGGATTAAAAAATGAAATTTAAGATATAAGATGGTAACTGTATTTTCTCTCATTTAATTTCTTGTCTTTAGTTTTGGCTCATCCTTTATCATCCTTGTTTAGTTTTTACTATGACAACACCAAGTTACTGAATATTTTGAAGCACTGCTTTAAGTATTAAAATATTATTTATAACATTTTATTGAATATTTCAAATTGTTTTTTTATCTGTAGGAGTCTTTGGAAGTTTGTTATTGGTTACAGCTGTGCTATCTAACAGACTGCTGTGTAGATATGAATTGTTTTTATCCAGTTAATTTTGGTTTGGGCAAGCCGTATTTCCAAATGTACAAGTAGCTTGTCCAATCAGTTAAAATAACAAAAAATATATATATCTAGTTTGTCTAGTTGACTAGTTTAATTATATAACAGCAATGTTTGGCTAATTGTCAAATTAGGTATCAACATTTTAGTTAATGTACCAATTAGATATCAACATTTTAGTTAACAAACCAATCAGATGTCAACATTTTAGTTAACAAACCAATTAGATGTCAACATTTTAGTTAACAAACCAATTAGATGTCAACATTTTAGTTAACAAACCAATTAGATGTCAACATTTTAGTT